CGCCATCAAAGCATGTCAGGCACTGAAATATGGTAACTGTTTTAAAAGTTGCTAAAAAATCTTAAAACCTAAAATATCAACGCCATCAAAGCACGTCAGGCACTGAAATATGGTAACTGTTTTAAAAGTTGCTAAAAAAATCTTAAAACCTAAAATATCAACGCCATCAAAGCATGTCAGGCACTGAAATATGGTAACTGTTTTCAAAGTTGCTAATAAACTTAAAAACCTAAAATATCAACGCAATCATTGTTTAAATATCCCATTGTATATGTTTTGGTTGTGGATGGGGGAGGGTGTGTTTCCTAATGACCAGTGGAGTAACATTCAAATACTTATCTTTTTTTGAGGAATGTTCTGTCTGCTCTTAGGAAGAAGATGTAACGCAGTTTTTAGAGCAATGTGTCATCCACACAACGCACAGATAGGCAACAGGGCAAGATCACGAACGGTCAGCATTACTTTGATAAATGCTAGCATGCGTCAATGTATGTGTGCGTGCACACGTGATTTAAAAAAATACGCATGTAGTCTAGAGAGACTCCAGCATCAGAAATCAATATGCAAAGCCCCAAGTCAGCGGGCGTCCATTTATTTCCGTTAAAACGGTCCAAGACTCATCTCTTTGAAATCAATAAACCCTTTCCTCATTCCTCGCTGGTCTCGTAGCCTTCTGCTGCTGAGGTGGAGGTCTTTAGCTAGCCATGAGGATGGGGGGGGGGTGTAACAAATATTCAGCCCCTTGCCTCTTATTTGGAAACAGCACAGCTTCATTCCTCATCAGCTATAGACGTATGCAACCTTTCTGGCGCCTGATGGCCGAGGGATTTGCTACCCGCATCTCTGAATAGACCTAGCTGTTTCAACACTAGGCAGGAAAAGATGAAGGCATCTGTGAACGTTCTCCAGTAATCCTGGGAACCTATAAGTTCGACAACACCAAGTAGTCTTACAACTGGAAATTGTATGCAGTTTGGGTCCCTAAAGACGCTGAAGAAATGAATGAAGAAGAAAATAAACATTTTTGCAGGATCTTACAACCCTCGAGAAGAGGTGTTAAGACGCATCTCGTGTATACTGATAAGCTTGATACGTAAGAACAAACACTATGTGTTAAGGTTTATAAGTTGAAATATACGTAAATTTAGTTAAAAAAGTAATAGTTATAGCTGGTTACAGACAGTACATGGGGTAATTTTTCAAAATGTCTTTTGTTACCTAAATATTATTAATTTCTACTCAATATTTGTACGTATATATAAATGCATACAAGAGTTGAATCTTCTTAATATTGTTAGTAATAATTAATAGAATACCAACATATATTTTCAGAGAAGTTTCAACACCATTCGTCACTGTTATTACTCTAAAACCCGTCTTGATTTTTCTTGCTAACTGCCTTTGTTAGCCTTGAGCCCTTGGATAAAGTATTGTTTAAAAGTGTTTTTTTATATACTTTACTGTATGAAAGTCTACAGTTGTAATAGGTTTTAATTTCATATCTGATATTAACTATCTCGTTATTTTCTCTCAGTTGCAAGAAAAGTATACAAATTGATGAAAAAGATTCAACAAAAAATAACTTTTGCCAAATATCACAAATTGTCTAGATTTTAATAACCCTTGAGCTGCAGCACGTTTGGAGTTATACACTCGAATTTGAAGATTGCCAGCTTAACATAAGAGGTTAATCAGCTGGAGTTTCTTAGGGAAAGTGACAGAAAACGTTATAAAAATGCACTTTCTGAACGAAGCTAATGACTAATTAATGGAGAATGAATAATGGTGGTAAGCCTCTTAATAGCTTTTATTCTATATGTGTAAGCTCCAAGAAAAGAGTAGGAAGTAAAACTCATTGTTTCCACTTGATAATTATGTAAGTTGTTCCTTAATCTAAAAATAAATACAATAAAGTACATTTTACGATCGACTGAGTGTTTATATGTTTAACTGTAAGTGAGCCAGAATGCTATAAATAATTTGAAACAATAAAAGGAATATTGATAAAAGTAATACATCATTTAAACCACGATTATTTATTATTGCCAAAACAAGAATATTTTGCCCCCGTGGCCCGATTAAATGTGCCAAAATGTCTTTGTTTTTGCAACAATAATTAATTGTAGTTTAAATGGTGTATTACTTTTGTTAATTAAATACCACAATATATATGAGTAAACCAATTAATAAAAAAGAAAAGTTTATTTCAAGTTCACGTTAGTTTGGTTTATTGGTATATTTTATTTCTCTTAAATAAAAGTATATAAATATAAAAAGGTCGGGTTACGAATGCATGGAACAAACTAGTTGCCCCCTGTACAGAACCATACAAAGGTTTATTATGTGGTTTTTCTTATCACAACCATGGGCTGATAGATGATAAAAGTCGAGTATACAGTTCTCCGGTGGTCGTAATGCGGGTGTTGTTAACACATATGGGCTGATATGTGTTATATTATTCTAACATAAGACATGCTTTGTGAAGCAACATTTTACATCCACTTCGAACGCGATTATTCCGCCTAAGAAAATTTTACATTTGTCTAGAAAGATTGATAATGATTTATTATGAACGTATAAAACAAATTCGATAAGAACATAATATTCTGATTCAATACGATTAAAGAAGCACGATAACTCAATGACGTTATCATCATGATCTTTCTCTAGCCATGATGATAGAACCCAATAACATTATGATCATGATCTTCCTCCAGCCATGATGATAGAACCCAATGACATTATCATCATGATCTTCCTCCAGCCATGATGAGAGAACCAAATGAAATTATCATTATGATCTTCTTCCAGCCATAATGATAGAACCCAATGACATTATCATCATAATCTTCCTCCAGCCATGATGATAGAACTAAATGATATTATGATCATGATCTTCCTCCAGCCATGATGATAGAACCCAATGACATTATCATCATGATCTTCCTCCAGCCATGATGATAGAACCAAATGACATTATCATTATGATCTTCCTCCAGCCATAATGATAGAACCCAATGACATTATCATTATGATCTTCTTCCAGCCATGATGATAGAATCAAATGACATTATCATTATGATCTTGCTCCAGCCATAATGATAGAACCCAATGACATTATCATTATGATCTTCTTCCAGCCATAATGATAGAACCCAATGACATTATCATCATGATCTTCCTCCAGC